AAGAAAGAAAGTATCATGTTAACTCTGCTAATCTTGCGTGTCACGTCTGTTTACTCGCTGTCCGGAATTGATTGAGCGAAATTCTCGCGTCTAATTATACGTCGCGATTAATTATACATTCCTAAATCCATAAATATATTTTCAAGGTTAATTTTGAGTAAGTGTTAAGTTATTCATGATAATTATGGTACATGTTTCAAATATTCCATTGTATTATTTAATATTTATCAGCAGAAATATTTATCATATAAGAAAAATTTATCATTTCTTGTATTTACGAAATTTTTGTTGAAAATGTTGATGTAATTTTTTATAAAAAAAAAAGACTGCTCTTATAAGTTATACCTCATTGAAAGAAGTAATACGCAGATCCGTACGTACCTAATCATTCCGAAAAGGATTAATCCGATGGTTTGTTTAGCATTGATTGCGGTTTTCCTCTTGCAATTCATAGCGGCCTAACATTAATGATGAGCGGCCGTCGGTTTTACGTTAATAGCCATTACTATTAAGCGTCTATAAGGGCACACGCGGGTTATCAAGCGATTAGCTAATTTGAACGCGAAATGATCGATACACATGCATATGCCTTCGCGGTGATACGTGCGTGAACGGTCGAAAAAATATTTGCATTATAACTGGTGAGAAATGTATCAATAATACGAAAGCGCTATTTATTGTACGCGTATGCCTGTTGGAAAATCATAAGACTGTAATTAGCACTCTATATTATAGCGAAAGTGGAAATGGCTGGGACAGAAATATGAACTCGAGGCATAGCTGCAGGCAAATTTTCCTTCCCGACTTACTTAGAGGGAAACATGATCGAACCAATAATTAACTTGTCTCGAGAAAGCTAAAACGGCTGACGTAATTAATGTAGGGAATACTTATAAGATCTTAATTAAGAATGTAATGAGACAGAAACAATTTGAAGATCGCGAGCTGTTAATCGATTATTCCATTTTTCTTTCGACACACCGTACAGATTTTAGTTAAGTGGATTCTTATTCTAAATTTAACAATAGAATAATTCACGTTAGTATACATTTTTTTAAACGATTTTTATAACGATTATTCCTAATTTCTCGTTACAATTATATGAGCTTATTATGTTGTTTATTTTATTTGTATGATGTTGAGAGACTGGAGTTATCGTTATTCTAAAAGCAAAAGTTAATCTCCTATTGTTCATCGCAGAGCTGGATTGGTGCGGATTTTTCCGTGCATTGATCGGTTTAATATAATCGGTTTAATCGTTTTCAAATGTGAAACGTGAGTATCCGCGAGCACACCGTTTGATATCGATTGTCCTGATTTTTTGCGAAATTGCTGCATGTATAAGGCTGCATGCTTCAAGATTAATTTATAGACATATCTTATCGATTCGCGGATTCTAAGTAATACATGAGCTATTTTAAGTGTCCGCTCGAGAGCTTTTATACTTCATTAAATTCCCGATATCTGTCTATCTTTGACTTGAGAATGTGGAGCGGAATACATACGTTTGTCAGAGAGTGAGATCTGAATTATAACGCCATAATGGTCGTGTCTTGTCCGTCGCGAAATAGACCGTCTGGTAAGCTAATTCCGAGGCGAATCTCGTATAATTAGAACACGAGAGTGGGCCCTACAGTAGTGGAGCTGAGAGCTGAGGGTATACACTGTGCACTCTCTCCGTTGCACCGACTGCACACGTGTGATTCGAAATCGGAATTGAGACGGAATTTTAGCGATGCGACTATGGCGGATATGGCGAAGAGAAGTACGGGAGTACAAAGTGACTATTTCCTTCGAACGTTATTCGAGAATTCAGTTCCGCGTATTAGCAGGCTATAGAGATCTATAGGCGCGTATATACGAGCGCATTGTGCCGACAGATATATGCATATGTGCAAGGATTCAAGAAGGCTATGTAATGCAGTGATGCAGTCAGCGTGGGGTTTCGGTATCATATTAGAAGGACCAGGGATTTCATATCTCTCTCTCTCTCTCTCTCTCTCTTTCTCCCTCCTTATATTCTTCCTGGTCCGTCCACGAGACTGACTCACGTTACGTTATAGTCAATCCGATTGATCAGGGATTCGCGCACGTGCGTCGATGTGCATTGACCGTTCGCGATATCGAATCATCGACTTATTTCGCGTCGTAAAGCAACCTGTTGATGTTCTACGCCCCGTTAAAATCTCGGTCAGTCGATGAGAAATCTAATAGCATCTAAATGGCAATGGTGATTTGTAACAGATATCAGATTGCATTCGCGGATTATACGTCGGTGCGTGCACGCACGTGTTATTTTGACGAATGCAGTCACACTCGTATCAAAACGCTAAGTTCTCTCTCTCTCTCTTATCGGCGAAAAGCATCACGTACGGTATATCATCGGCATTCGCGCAACCGGGATGCACCGCACCGCTGGTTTGCCGGCGATAATTCAGGATCTATCGACGTAGGATGTAAGCCCTTACGCGTCAGAGCGCATACAGATGAACGACGGAAGTAATATATGAATGCTAATGCTCGGAAAGCCCTGCAACGAACGGATCGATTTGATTAATACGCAGAATAATCTGTATTGATTTTGCGATTACGATTCGCAATAATATTGATGCACTCATTATCGGCAAGCGCGATGCGTTTATTTCTGTGTACCTTGTTGTTCGTCGGCGATGATGATAGCTTAGAACTAATGTGACAAATGCGTTTCTTTACATATTTATGTATGTATGCTTTCTATATCAATATGTTTCTTTTTACACCGAGTTTTATTTTATTCATGGCCTCTTTTTGCAAGCGGTTTTAGTCGCAAATATAAAATTATATCGCGTCGAAATTTGGTCAAATTTATTTTTTCACTGCGTCGGTGTGTCTAATTTAATTTATGATAGACTTTGCGAATTGATAGATTACGTTACTTAGCTTACTACTCCTCTTGTGGAGTCCTTCCTTGATTTTTCGCAATAAAGTTATTAGACTAATTATAGACGATAAGCCGCTCTTTATTTCTATCAGCAGCTCATTTGTTTTATTTTGTATAAGTACGATATTTTCATTGAATTATCTTGTTTTTGTCAGCTTATCTTTCGCGTTACGTCCCTTTTGATCTTATCGGATCACTATCGAACGTATTGAACGTAAGTGGGTTGCACGTGCCAAGCACAATTGACCGTAATCGCATTTTCTTTTATTTCTCTGAAACCTTTTTGCTATGCGCTACCCGAAAGCTTCCCCGCGAAACCGTCTTTCTCACTGTCGTCGCAACCGTTCTCTTTCTCGCATCGTATTATGCACCGCGACAAGGGCAAGTAAAAAAGGAAAGGAGCAAAAAGAGAAATGGGCGACGAAAGATCTTTGCGGCAACACGTTTGCGGTCTCTCGGGTCCAGAGGTGTCAGCTACCCCTGTCGTGGCCCATTTCCCTAACACATTCGGCCACCCGAGCCGGAGCCGTAGAAATCTTGTGATGGTCATGATGGAAATGTCACGTCGCGCTAAATATTACAACATGCTTGACAATCACGTCTGAGATTTATTGAAATCGAGATCGCTGATTAAAAGTGTCGGCGTTCTGAGAAACTTATTATAACGTTCTATTGTTTCGCGCGATAAACGGGATAGATATAATGAATAAATTGTAATCACGGATTTATTCTAACGCGCGATATTGATCCAGACAGCTCTCTTAGCTGTACAGCTTGATACGATGACCCGAGTTAATCGTTGTAATTAATTCAGAGATCGTCTAGAGAGAGGAAAGGAGAAAGAGAGAGAGAGAGAGAGAGAGAGAGAGAGAGAGAGAGAGAGAGAGAGAGAGAGAGAGAGAAAGTGCGCCAGAAAGGTCGGCCATTACCGTCACTGCATTAATTCCGTAATACGGGTATAATGGATTTAGATATTACGTGGCTCATGTACATATTCATATGGATACATAGGATAAAATCTTGAAATGGTATATATTTTTGCATTTATTACAAGCGATATATCTCCTTTTTATATGGGATGTCACGTTTCTGTCTCATTATATTTGAACGATAGATTCTTGGTCAAGAGTGATTTCTTTGGCCAAGAGATATTTTTTTCGCGCGGATCAATGCGAAGGGTTTTATAAATCCTTCGGTTGAAGTTTTTGGGTGAACAGGCAAGCAGGGCGAGGAAAAGAAAGAGAAAAACATTGGAAAAATACAAGTTAAGGATAAGGGATAGTATAAGGGTGAGGTTCTAACGCAGCAACAGATTGTCGTGAAGTGTTTATAAGACGCTTAAAGGCGCCTTCGCGAAGAAGCAATAAGTCTATTAGGGTCGATTTCGTTGACGCGTTAATTTAAGATACTCTTAATCAATATAGCGCGATATATACACGCGATCTGCCTCGCCGTTCTCGAACACGATGAACACGTTGGTATGCCAACGTACGTTTCCGACGCCATTTTCAGACCTTATCAACCTAAAAAGTCGCCCACGCCGAGCGGCAGCAGATCGGGCTGGCGTTCCCGTAGGAGCGTCACGACGGCGGGAGCCCCCGGAGGGCACCAACACCACGTGATCGCTACTGCCGCCGCGACGGCCCAGGCTAGGATGCAGGCCGAGCAGGGCAGCATCGGCGAGCTACGTGGATACCACAACCTGCGATCCCGCAGGCACACTTTGGCCAACGTTCGGTGAGTGTCTCGATTTTAGCCATTGGAATGAAACGGGCGCGAAACGGAGCGCTCGATCAATACTTGCAGATGTCAAGAATGTTTAGGAGACGTCGCACGGACGTCTGAAAGGCATACTAAATTTTTGAGATGTTTTGAGATGTTTCTTTAAACATCCGTTGGGCGGATGGATCTCGTGCGCCGTTCGAGTTCTGTCGTTCACGATTGAAATTGCTTATTGAGAAACGCGTATGGCAACGAAAGAGATTTCGATTCTCTGTATAAAGCCATGTTGATTTATCTACATATATTATAATCGTTGAATTGCTCGGAAAAGCGTTTTAGAAATTTCTCAAGATACAAATTAAAATGAAACACTTATATTTTTTCGAGTCGACCATCTATTTTGAGTCGAATCGCATTAAATATATCTGTTATACATATATACATACATGTGCAAAAAAACATCTGACACTGAATACGAATTCAGTATTTGATTTTATCGTTACGCCACGCGACGAGTGAATTAAAAGCACGGGAGAAGCATTTGTTCGTATAATGGAATTGCTCGCATATATATATCGTTGTAAAGATTGTATATTATCGAAAATTACATACTGCGTATGATCTCTTTTTTTTAATCTTTTTTTTTTACTGGCGTTGTCTCAACCAGAAATCTGACACGAGAGTCCGCTATTCCCATAAACTCTGATTAAATTCTCGGAAGCATTTTTCACATTTTATTCATGATTCCGCTGTTAGCCACTCTTTCAAACTTTTTACCTCATCACTTTATCACTATCATAATGTTTTATAGCATTTCCTGGCTCACTCTAACGGCGAATTTTTTTTCCGTAGCTTATCATTCTGAAATTATTTTAAATGGAATAAATTGTTAAATGAATAAAGTTATTAGCAATGAATGGCCGCAGCGTAATATTAACTTCAAATGTTTAATTAAACAAAGAGTATATATCTTTATACGATTGATTGAATAGAATAATGATAATTACGTGTGCTTAATCTGCGCAATAACAATTTCCTTTTCTAATTGGTTCTACGCCAGTCTTCTCTAATTTGAAGCAAAAGCAACTCGGGGATAACGGCTCCACAGTCAATTTTTCCGAGTCCTCTAAAATTGATTGCAAATCGTTTTTCCTTTTGTGTTCACCGGGATTTGTCTTTCGCTTAGGTATTTTGGCCAAGCAAGCCTGGTCCCTTTTTTCGATCACCCTTTTTCGAGGCACCGTACGGCACGATTTGCCGGTCAGTGACGTGCAGTCGCAGCTATCCTGATCGCGAGAAATCTTCTTAATGATCTTCTCGAGGTGATCTCTCTCGCGCGGCATCTTGCTCTGGATTTTAATCTTGCAATCGGGGCACAATCTATCATGTGGTATTGGATGATCGATTTTAGGGCGAATAAACATACGCTTGAACGCAATCACCGCCGGGGGCGTTGCAGTTTTCGCATCAATCTGCGGTTGAACCTCTAATCTAAGTCCCGTCGACGGCGCAGGCGGAGTCGGAGTCGAAGTTCTGCCGCATAGGCAACAGTTACAGGCCACCCTGCCCACTTCCTCGGATTTCCCGCCATAATTAATCGTCCTGATCTCACGTTCTATGTCCGGTCGCGCTAGCCCGGCAGCGGCGATCTTTATAGATCGTAAAAGTTCATCCGTGGGCACTCTCGCACGTTCTCTTTCATCTCTTACAACTCGGTCGTGGCTAACGTGGCTTGTTTTATCCGTCTGTGATCCGGTGCTGGCGGTCGTGACGGTCGATTGGTCCTTTAAGCGTTTGTGCCAGAGCATTTTTCGGCCGGTTATTTCAGGACGGTCGCCGGCGATTTCAGTCCTCGATGCTTTTAGCTCGGCTGGTTTTAAATATTCACTACTAATAATTCGTATCGGCGGCATACGGGGCGGTTCAGTGGTCGAAACTGCCTGCGTGGTTATTTGTATAACTTCGGTCTGGATGGCCTCGGTTTGTACGACTTCGGTTTGCACGATCTCGTTTTGCACGATTTTTGTTTGCACCACCTCGCTTTGTATGACTTCGGCTTGTACGATTTCAGTTTGAAGGACATTAGTTTGCGGAATCTCGAACGGCCTCGCCATCTCGATCGGTGGTCGCTGCAAGCGGAGGAGTCGTGCATTCAGAATGGATCAACCGCTATTAATACATGTGCTCAGAACGAGGAAACAACGATAATTAATAGAGCATTACTGAAAGCCGCATTATTGTTTTTCGAAAAGGTATTAAAATTTGTCGAGAGAAACCTTGTTAATTATTAAAGTTATAACTGTTAAATTAAGAATTGTTAATTATTAAAGTTAATTATTAAATTATTAACTCCGTTAATGAGAATGGAAATTTTAAAATATAGATATAACGTTTACTAACCAAATAACATTCCACACATGGCGGTTTCGGCAATAATTCTTTCTGCTTGAGCTTCGCTATGATCAGATACGGCTGCACCACTAATTCTGCAGGATCGAGTGATATCACTGGTATTTCGGTCGATTTTATCTCAGCAATTGGAATTTTTAATTCTATCTGGACCATTTCTGGCTTTTTCTCTTCTACTGGCACTTCCTTTTTGTCTTTTACTATCACTTCCTTGGGCGGCGCGACTTCCGCCAGTATTTCCGTTTTCTTTACTTCTTTTTCTTCCATCTTTTCAGGTAATTCAACAGACGGTGTAACTTCTTCCGGCAGTGTAACTTCTTTTATTTCTTTGTCTTTCTCCTTTTTAATTTCTACTTCG